TCCTGAAACAGGTCGATTCTCATTTTCAATTCACCACATTCATGATGGAAAATTTAATATTCAGGGTGATCCACGTTTGAGTTGAAATGTTTGCGACAATTTCTTCGAATCGAACCCCTTATTGTATGTTATTGAATTTTCAGAACCACCATGAGCAGCTGGATTCGAAAATATATCAAACAAAGAATTGCAGAATTAAATACTCCAAGAAAATTGGGTTGCCACTATGATAGTACTGATGACGTAGTTCCTCAGACAAGGATCATTCTGTATAATTATATTGATGGATTTGAGGGAACGCATGAATGACAATAAAATGACGGCTTCGAACGTAATTTTCAAAAATAATTCATTCGATTCCCAACGAATTTATTCATTACTTAACGAAATTCGACGGACGCACTGTATACGAACCCTTCAATTCAGTTTTCCATGGAGATTAAAAATGATTGGACAATATAAAGGTGGTTTCATATAGAGAAATTGTCGTAGATTGCATTATTCAAACGTGGATCACCCTGTTTACTGAATTTTCCTTGTCGATATGACTAAATGGGAAAAAAAGTTCATTTGTCCCAGAATATTATTGCTCATATATAGATTGTTTAGCTGAATATGACTTAATCCACTTCTTCATTGAATCACTCAATTCAACGAACGCACTGTATACAAACCCTATGTGTATCGATTGGATAGTTTGCCTGAAAATTTCACACCAAACATTTTCGATCAATTTGAAGCCTGTATTTCGAATCGTTACCATAGCAACTAAACAAATTTTTTGGAAATTTTTTCCTCCTCCTTGGGGGACGGAGCATGAAATTACACTGGAATTTTTTTGACGTTTATATGACATTTACATTCAACTCCAGATTATTTTGAGTCAATGAATAAAAAAAAAGTTATCAACAATTTTCCATATAATATTATGTAGGTATACTTGCAAATTCGGAATTTACAAAAACACATGTTGTTACTATATACATTAGTTCTTACATTAACAACCATCATTTTCAACTTAATCATCTGAGTGTTGTTGAAATTCCTTAGCTACGTCTTCTCTCTTCAATGGGGAATATAAGAACGTCCATTTACTAGAACGTATTAAATATCTATGTTTCATGAAATATTTGTAGTACTTTGAAACAATCCTATTCTGTTGTAATCCACGAAGAGGTCCATTTTTTTCACACACCAGAAGCAAATGATATTTGAAAATCCCAAACAAATTCGGTGAATAGATTTTTGACCCGCATTCTTCTACTAAATACGCTAAAAATTTTAGATTCCGATGATACTTTTTAATGTCACTTACTTCATTACAAAACTTGCATTATTGTTATACTATTTTTATATTATCATCTATCATTTTCAATAGACACCTTTTTCATTATTTTCTACCAACTTTAGTCGAATAGATTTGTGGAAAACTGAAAGATTGATTCAATACTGACTTATTTTTCTTTATTTTGATCAACTAAAGTCGTTCAATTATATGTTATTCAACCTAAGAATATTATGCGCTCAAATTTCATGGATATACTGAATAGTACTCCGAATTCCTTGCAAGAAAATATATTTCTACCAACTTTAGTGAACTAAATTTGTGAATGATTTAAAACGTGAGCTACTATCGATTCATTTCTGATCATTTTGTATAACTAAAGTAGGTTATTTGGGTTTCATTTAACCTAACAATGTTATGAAAATGTGCATTTTATTGAGAATATTGATACATTTTCACTTATAATATCACGAGAGCTTCAATTATTTCCGGAAATTTTTTCGAGAACACGAATATTTTGAAAATTCTCCCGAGTCGAAGATGAGGGACAATTTTCTAAATATTCGTGTTCGCGAAAAAATTCCCGGATATTAATTGAAGCTGAAGTGGTATTCGGTAAGAAAATTTCACACTGAAATATTATTAAAAAATCACTTGAATAATGACGATTTTTGATGGTTTTGACATTCGAATAGTAGGCCTTGTATGTTATCTCACAAGGATAATATATTTTTATTATTTACGTGTATGTCATTCTTCATGTCAAAACTGAAGAGAAGGTATAATATCATAGTGTTTATATGAAAATGTATTAATATTCTCAATAAAATGCACATTTATAACATTGTAAGGTTGAATAAAATTCAAATAACCAACTTTAGTTATTCGAAATGATCAGAAATGAATCGATAGTAGCTCACGTTTTGAATTATTCACAAATTTAGTTCACTAAAGTTGGTAGAAATATATTTTCTTGCAAGGAATTTGGGGTACTATTCAGTATATCCATGAAATTTGAGCGCATAATATTATTAGGTTGAATAACATATAATTGAACGACTTCAGTTGATTAAAATAAAGAGAAATGAGTCAGTATTAAATCAATCTTTCAGTTTTTCACAAATCCATTCGACTAAAGTTGGAAGAAAATAATGAAAAAGGTGCCTATTAAAAATGATAGATGATAATATAAAAATAGTATAACAATAATGCAAGTTTTGTCATGAAGTGAAAGACATTGAAAAGTATCATCGGAATCTAAAATTTTAAGCGTATTTAGTAGAAGAATGCGGGCCAAAATTCTATTCACCGAATGTGTTTGGGATTTTCAAATATCATTTGCTTCTGGTGTGTGAAAAATTTGGACCTCTTCGCGGATTACACAGAATAAGATTGTTTCAAAGTACTACATATAATTCATGAAACATAGATATTTCATACGTACTAGTAAATGGTCGCTTTTATATTCCCCATTGAAGAGAGAAGATGTAGCTAAGGAATTTCAACAACACTCAGATGATTAAGTTGAAAATTATGGTTGTTTGTGATGAAATGTAAGAACTAATATATATAGTAACAACATGTGTTTTTGTAAATTCCGAATTTGCAAGTATACGCCTACATAATATTACATGGACAATTGTTGATAACTTTTTTTTTATTTATTGACTCGAAATAATCTGGAGTTGAATGTAAATGTCATATAAACGTCAACAAATTTCCAGTGTAATTTCATGCTCGAGGAGGAAAAAATTTCCAAGAAATTTGTTTAGTTGCTATGGTAACGATACGAAATACAGGCTTTAAGTTGATCGAAAATGTTTGGTGTGGAATTTTCATATAAACACAATGATATTTTACCTTCTCTTCAGTTTTGACATGAAGAATGACATACGTAAATAAAAAAAATATATTATCCTTTTGAGATAACATACAAAGCCTACTATTCGAATGTCAAAACCATCAAAAATCGTCATTATTCAAGTGATTTTTTGATAATATTTCAGTGTGAAATTTTCTTACCGAAAACCACTTCAGCTTCAATTCTCCCTCGTCTTCGACTCGGGAGAATTTCCAAAATATTCGTGTTCTAGAAAAAATTTCCAGAAATAATTGAAGCTCACGTGATATCATAAGTGAAAATTTATTTATCCACTTTTTTCGAGATCACTCAATTCCAGGAACTCATTGCATATAATAATCATGTGTAATTAATCTTTGAATTCAGCTTTCCATAGAGATTCAAAACATTCAAAGATATAAATAATGTTTCATTTGAATAAATTTTCTTGGACGTAATTATTCGAACGTAGATCATCCTGTATATTAAATCTTTTCTCATAAGTGTAGCAAATTGAGAATAAAAATCATAATTCCCCAAAAAATTTCTGAAATATGGATAGTTTGGCTGAAACTTAATTCATTCAGTAGTTTACGAGAGCACTGTAAGTATACATAGGGAGTACTGGGTGAATTTCCAAGGTGGCTCACCCCTATGAATTTTTCATTATTGAAGGTAGTCAGTCGGGTGTTGGAGGTTGTGAATTGTAGTTCAATTGACATTATTGACATATCTACTTGCTTTACCGTTCTTCAGGTTTGACCGGAAATGACCCCAAGTTCAGATTTTTGAACAGAATACCCTGTGTTTCATCACATAATCAGTTAGGGATTTTCGGAACATAATTAACGAAACCGGGTTTCATGAGGTTTTTTTCCGAAGATTGTGATTCGCGTCCAAAATTTTCGTATACTCAATGATTGTAACAGAAAAAGGAGTTTTGATATTGGGACGTCACGCCCATTAAGCATTTGGAATTTTCGAATGCAGATATCTTCGTAATCGTTTGAAAACCCTATCATTGAATTCGCAATTCAATTATGGAATGAAATACAGGGTGTCTCTTTTGGAAATCGAAAGTTGGAGTCATTTCAGGGCAAATCAAAAATACGACGAAGCGCGTAAATATGTCAAAAAATGTCAATTGTGACCTATAATGAACAATCTTCAAATGTCGCTATCAATCGATTGATAAGAATTCACGGTGCAGGCAGGTCAATGCTGCAAATGAAGACCTTGCTGAAATCACAGCCTGGGGAACCAACAACCTAGTGGAGTTCAACGCCACCAAAACTCAAGCCTGCATTTTCTCTAGAAAGGCGGAACTGAGTATGCCCGATATTGTGATATTTGGCACCATCATCCCCACCAAGCCCACTATATAGTCCAGTCACCAGGTACATTCTACCTGGACAAAGGTCCGAAGTTGATGATCTTCTGATATGTTGTAAGTGGGTATTTCGTGGTGTAAAAACCAAGTTTCCCAATTCGAGAACCTTGTGCAAACTTCAGGGCAATCGCAAGACCAAAAATGTTTGCCTCTTTTTTAGTATTTTGCTTATTACTACTAAAATAAACACTTTAGTCAAAAATACTCTATCACAAAAGTTGTAGAGCATAAAATTTTCAACAATTTACATCAATAAACCGTTGCTCAAAATTTGATAGGTACCGAGATATGGCGCTTTGAAGTATCGACATTTCTTCCAAATATCGAAAAACTGCGAATAATGCACGTTTTTCTCAAGTAACTTTTATCTTTCACGTTTCAATATCCGTATATGAATAACTTTCAATAACCTGAACAATAGAAACCTCTTTCTCAATGAGATTTCAATTTATTAACTGAGTAAAATGATTACAAATAAAAAGCCTTCACTTTGTTGGCAGGTCGGCATCTTCGTCCTGAGCAATGGTCTCATCCATGACGACCTCCTCGTCGCACTCAATGTCGGTATCTTCCTCGTTGAGTTCGGTTTCAGGCGAATTCTCACAAGCATTTCCTGCACAATTCTTGCAGATGGCTGAACACCGGAGTCCTGCTTTTTTACAGTTGCAAGCTCCGGTGCTACAACCTGTCATGCACTTACATTGTATCATGTGCAGCAACTTTTCTGGAGCTGCATCTGTGGTCGTTGTTATGGGTATCAACCATCGTTTTGTGAGAGTCCACCTCCAAACAGACGGTGACTTTTTGTTGCCCAGCCACGTCTGCACTTGTATATGAGTTCTCAAAGAATGGTACTGGGCAGCGTCCCGTGTAGGTAGCAATCGGGCAAGGTGAAATCTGGATTTTGCCACAGAGTTCGAGAATATTCGGTAGCGAAGATCGTTCACAGTGTCTGTGTCTATGTTTCCACCGTAGAGTGCCACAACAAATTTTTCTCCTGCTACCGAAAGTTGGCGTGGTGTTGCATCTTCATCTTTGAAAACACTGACAATGTCAGACAGAAAATGGTTTTTCTCATAAATAGAGAGGACTTTCTTCTTTCCCACTCCAAAAGGGTTCGATGTAGTGTCACACCCGCTAACTACATGGAGGAAAAGAATATCCTGAGAATTGTATTCGCAAGATGATGACGAATACAAAGTACTAGGAGCATTACCTCTCCCACTCTTCTGGAAATACACGTTCTTTGGAGATGAGCCCAACGCAGTCGGCAATACTAACAGATCTACGTCTTCACCTATAATAGTAACACTATCGAAGTCAGGTTAGGTTAGGTTAGCTTCAGATATCGCAGTTTTCACTATCATGACATCAGTATCTTCTATTGCCTGCTTAACCTCAATACCCTTTGTTTCCATTTGAGTCATCAGCAACGAAATGAAATTCTTCTTGTTTGTGTCGTTGGACAATGATTTTTCTTGTGGCAGTGTCACGGCCGTTTATAATGAGAATACGAATGTTGTCGAAGAATGCAGCAAAGCCCTGCGATTTCTTTCAGCTGCTTTGGTGCTCTGATGAGCAACGTCACTTGGGTATCCATCGAACACTACTATGGAATTACACCCAAAGTGTTTCTGAACGTAGTCGACATAGGTCTTGCAAACTGACTCGAACGTGGGTGGTAGCGGTGGTGGCGGAGAGTTCCCTATTATTTTTCTATCAATTATAAGTTGAATATTTTTCGAAAAAAAATTATTGTTGGATTTTGTATGTTTTCATTCATAAATCGCCTTTTTTCTCGAAAACTGTTCTCCTCAGAGCATTGAAGCAGGAGGACCTTTTTTGTGTGAAAGACGTTGGCGTGTCAGAATGTGCTTTGAAAATTACAATTTCTCTTGTGGAATGAAAGTTAGGGGGGTTGAACCCTTACGAGGCGTTGAACTCTCCGCCACTGACATGTCCAAGGAAAATGATCAAGAGCCTTAGAAGTAGACATTATTGATGACGAAGTGTGTACAAAGGCTCAGCTCCTTAGCTCGAACAATTCCTGAGATAAGAGCAAAAAACTGATTTTTTCATTTTTTTACGCCCTGTATCTTGAAAACGGAAGCCCGGAAAAAAATTTCGTAAAAAAAAACATTCCTCTTTTTTTATGAGGAATCAACAGTTTTCCGTTGTTACACTTATTCATTAACACCCTGTATACCCATTTGAAAATGATGGAAGATGAAAATATACTAGTGAAGAACCTGAATTTCCAGCAGTTTTTCGATATTGTGAGAGTTTGAAGCGCTATATCTCGGTACGTATTCGGTGAAAACAATAAGTGATAGATGATAATTGTAGGAAATGTTTGTAGGAAATTCAATCCTATTTAAGTTCTGTAACTTTGTGTTTTCCACTTGAACGCGTTGTTTAGGAGTTATAAGCAAAATATTGAAGAAAGTCCGAGAATTTACTAGTTTTTCGGATGCCCTGAAGTTAGCACAGGGTCCTCGAATTGGAAAACTTGGATTCTACACCACAGACTTGCCACATCCATCGTATGAAAAGATCGTTAACTTCGAACCTTTTTTCAGGTAACCCCACTGTGAAGTACAGGGTGACTGGACTAATATCTATGCTCGGTATTTCCATCAGCAACACTCTTTCATGGGATAATCATGTCAGATCCATCGCGAAAGCTGCTTCACAAAAACTCGGATTCTTGTTCCGCGCGAAAAGCTACTCTACACCTAAACAACTTCTCATGATATACAAAGCGCAGATACAGCCTGTTCTAGAATACTGTTTCCACATATGGGGTTCAGCACCGGAACATAAGCTGATGCTCTTAGATTCAATCCAGAGAAAAGCCATTCGCCTAGTAAGTGACGCCACACTCACTCACTCTTTGACATCATTGGAACACCGTAGAAAGGTCGGCGACCTTCCACTTTTCTATCGATACTTCCACGGGAAATGTTCTTCGAAAATCTCTGCAATTATCCCTCCACTAGCAATACCAGTCAGACGAACTAGACAAGCAAAGTCAGCACATCCTCTTGTTCTCAACCTCGGAAGATGTCGAACAGCACTTTATCAAAACTCCTCCATCCATAGAACGGCTAGGCTCTGGAATTCATTGCCTGAGAAAGTATTCCCAACAACATATAATCTCCAGAAGTTCAAAAAAATCCAATACCTACCTCCTGTTCCTATCCTCCCTGGGACCGCACGATGTTCTTTGGAAATTATAGGGATTTCCTTTCGTGCGCTCCAAGCGATGAAAAATATAGATTATAGATTCTCCACTTATGATAATATTGGTTGAGTATCAAGCTACCAATCTAGTGTTTCGAATTTCATTAATAAATGCATGTGTTTGGTATCTCATAACCCCATAATATACCTAATGATAATAATAATTGGAGTAGCTCTACCTCTCCAGAAGCATATAACTACCATGTTCAACTCGTTCAAAGCTCTCAAAAGAAATCTCAGTTTATGTAAACCTGTCTCTATTATAGAACTGAATAAGAATGAAGTTCCAACTACCGAAATACCTGGTGTGGCAAAAAAATAATAAGAATTGAAAATCTCCATATGTCATCATCAGACTATATTGGTTGAGTAATAAACTCATGCAACAGTATTCCGTTTTCCGTACTCCTATATGGGGAAAGAATTCTGAAATCGAGTTAAGCCGCTGATGATAACTAATAATGAATTCTATATTTCAGGAGTACCTCACAACAAAGAATCCATTTTGGAGGAATGCTACCCAATATAAGATGCACATGTGAATATGTATACAGGGTGTCCGGAAATTATGCGCAAAAAATCGAGGGGGTGATTCTGCAAGATGTAACCTTGCAAATTTCAGGGGGTAATAAGTGATAAAATTTAGTTATGACTCTACCCCTGAATTGGCTGTTAACCTGCCTGAGATTTACTTGGTGTTTTAATTCTCAAAAGTTTTGCTACAAAATATAGTGTTTTAAGTGCCTAGTTTGAGACTGTAGAAACCAAACACTGGTAGTTCAGCGGGACAATGGGGTGGGTACGTTAAATGCCAAAAGTAGGGTGAATATATAGATTTAATAATAAGAAAACTTGAAAAATACAAATTCCACTAGAATTATGCCTTGATCTCAATGAAAACCATCAAATAGCAATATTTTATATCACAACTAGGGACTGTCTGAAATCAACTCTTCAGTACATCCCTTATAATCAATTTATAACAAAAATGGGAATATCACATATTGTATATAGACAAGGTGATAAAGCAATACCGCAGTGCACGTTGGTTTCCAATATAAGTGAGGTGATTACTAACTTATAGTACAAATTGGGGTATTATATCCATACTTATGATAAACTCAAAATAAATGGTAATTTACCCCTAAAGAGCTGATAGCCTTATTTGGTGGTAGTTTCCAACTCTTATAAGTCAGGTAAAATGGAACAGACTCACCAAAATTGAAGGTGACAGGCGAATATGTTCAACTGTGGAGTCAAGCTGTCAAGTACAGGGTGTAGGCGGCCACGTCGATCATATACAGGGTGTTGAGCGTACAGGACAGAGAGTGACGCTACAGGGTGCATACCGGATCCATACAGGGTCCAAACAGGGTGGACTCGAAGAGCTGTTTACTCCTCAGCAACTATACAGGGGGTTCTTAGGGTTCCTTGTTCATCAGCAGGCTCTTCTTTGGGGCTTGCAAAAAAAAAGGGCCGAACCGGTGGATGACGCAGATCGGAAGCCAGGAGATAATTCCGGGAAAATAAGAACCCTAAACGAAAAAAAAAAAAAAGAAAATGGTTGTGTGCCACTCGAGAAATAATCAAGATTAAATTCCATACCTGATGTGATGGTGGTCGGGTTCTTGATCGGCTGATGTCAGCCTCGTGGCTTTCGGCCTTAAATCCCTCCAATTTGAGGTATGGTACCAAAACCAAAATTGGTCACCATGAAATGAGAATTCGAATCGAATTAATTCCAACACTAATGGAGAAAGAATAAATAAAAATATGTAAAATGCGAAATCGAATCTCTGGCTTACTTGTCACACGAGTTGGATCAACCTTCTCCAGGAAAAATGGCGAGATATCTCGTGAAGATGATGGGCCGTCCTTCAACCGGAAGATCGGTCTTTATCTTAAAAACGCCCCATACCTCAGAGAAGTGCTAGTGGGAGATTTTCCCGCGAACACATTATAGATGGTATTTCACCACCACAGAAAGATGAAAAATATCCTTGTTTCAACAAGAAAATACTTAATTCACCCGATATTAGTAAACATTAACAATTTTCCATTTAGTTTTCGTGGAAATTGAGTTTTCGGCGGTTAAAGCCGTTTTGTCTACACAACAAATTTCAAACAGAGACATGCGCAGAAAGGCCTCGGAACTACGTCGACTCATGACGCAATCCTCTTCTTTTCCGATGGATGAACGACTTCATCGAACGAGACATAAACACTAGGGTTATCACACCTTCTATCCGATTTAAACAACAAATCACTATTTTGAAAAATCCCGACATCATGCTGAGCTGAGTCCTTCCATAATCAATCAATTTTGAGGGCCATTCAAAAATCGATGAAAAATGAACTACTGTCAATGACAGATGTTAGCAACTGCTAAAAGTACGGAGAATCATAAAAATAATGACATTGTCCTTCAAAATAAAGCAGAGCAGCTCGCAAATATCGGTCAACTGTCAGTAGTCAACAATCTGACAGTGATAAAGATTCTGACAGTGATATCTCGCTCAATATTATTGACTGAAAATGTAAACAACGAGCACAATATGATAAATCGACTGATAACAAAAATAGTGAAATGATCCTTGCTAAACTGTTGAATATCCGTGCGCTCGAACATATCGAAGAAGACTGGCTATCATTCCACAAAAACAACAGCGTGAATAAATATTCGAAACCAGAATCGTGAACTACGGTAAGCAACGACAACAAACCTTGTCTTGGGACCCGATAAACTATTTCGTTTTCAGGAGCTAAATGAAATAATAAATCACGGCAATAGACTATATAAAACTATTTGAGATTGCAAAAAGATAATATCAATGACAAATGATGAATAATACACCCATGAACAAATGAAGAATTGAGACAAAAGTACGTAAACAAACAATTTCGATGTGCTATCAGTGCAGTATTTTCGTTAGGCAAAAACGAAGTGTACCAAAGAGAAAACATGAATTTCATTCCATTTATACTTGGGTCCGGAAATGCATAGTTTTTAATATACAGTGTGTTAAACTTTTTAGAACAAATCGGTCTTTTATGAATATCTTACATACCCTTCCACCGATTCTCTTGAGATTAGGCAATGATATTCTTTGTCATGTGGGGCTAATTAAGCCATTTTCAAATTGGAATTGTGAAATCCAGTGGCGTCCTGGGGGCACCCTACCGAATACTATTGTGAATAAAATGTGCGCCACTGATTTTTTCAAATTCTTTGTCTCCATATCCTATTGATTAACTAAAAATACAACATTTTGGTCTCTTGGATTATTTTGCTATTTTGCTGCGTATCCGTGAAAAAAAATAAATACCAATTCATTGCATAAATTTGTGCAGAACATTGCTTCGAAAACAGGGGTGGAATTGAATGTTTGATCCATGTCCATAGACGTAGAATAAGAATGAAGATTCATTTTCCTCAAATATTTTATAATACATGGTGTATTGTCTTCAATATACAGAGTGTGGAGTGTGTCAAACAAGTATCAAGAAATATTTAAAGTAAATTAATGTTCTTCCTCATTTTATGTCTATGAACATTGATCACGCGTTCATTTGCACCCCAGTTTTTGAAGGAATTTTTCGGCACAAATTGATGTAATAAATTGGTTTTCATTTTTTTCCATGAAAATGAAGCAAATCATCGATAAAATTGAAGTGGCCAAAATGTTGTATTTTTAGTTGGTCAATAGATTATAAAGAAACAGAATTCAAAAAAATCAGTGGCGCACATTTTATTGACAATAATATTTGGTAGCTTGCGCCCCGGGACGCCACTGGATTTTATAATTCCGATTGATTTATGGCTATAACAGCCCCTCATGACAAAAAATATCATTGCTGAATTTCAAGAAAATCGGTGGAAGATTATTTGAGATATTCATGAAAAACCGATGTTTTTTAAAAGTTTCAACACACTGTATGTTGAAAACTATGCATTTTCGGGCTCACGTATATATGAAATAAATTCCTCATTTTATCATGTAGAATCACCCCCTTGATTTTTTGCGCATAATTTCCGGACACCCTGTATACCAAGTAAGCAGTCATTCTGAGAAATTTCATCATGGGAGAAGAGAGGTTGAGAAGGGTTATCATATTGACATATATAGAGTTACTAGATTTTTCAGATTCATTCAATCCCTATAACCCCCACCTCGATAGTATGTAACTAATGTCGATAATTGGCTATTACAGTCCCATCATTTATGTATATGCTGGGCTTGCTATGGGAAACTCAATGTGTCGAGTATGTTTTATCGGCCTTTCGCCGCGGAATTGAATGTTAATGCTGGGTGCTCAACACTGGGACCAGCTGCCAGCCGCAGTGTACTGATATACAGAGTCCCGCATATGTGACCATTTACTGGGCCGCCCATGTCAGTTATGGGGGAAATAAATAAGGCTAATAATGTCCTACATAAAAATGTTCGCTGGTATTAATCAAGGAAATTATAAAAAATAAAAGGGTGGGGTTCAGCTACAGAGCTGCTTTTGAACCCAACCGGAAAAATATGAACATACCACAAACATACTTACTCAACAATATAAGAGGACCTAGTTTCCAAAAAACTGAATTCTCAAGCCTACGTGTACATAAATCATGACCAAGAGCCGTTGTACTGCTGCCTTGCCTGAAAAATATCCCACCTTTTTTTTTTCGATATGTTTCAGACAAAGTTTCTTATATTCCACGGCAAGGCATTGTGAAGTTTAGCCGCATTGGTATGAGCAGAACTAATTTCTCACGTAGGTATTGTGGTTTACCAGATATCACATTTTTGTGGGTGAGAGTAAGCGAGTGCAATTGAAAGATGAGCTACAAAAATAATTAATATATATGTTGCTGTACCTCGAGTTGGTATCTAGCCAAAGACCCAAATTATCGTCTTCAGTCACGAAGGGAATGGCGTAATTGTTTATTCCGATGGATGGAGACTCACTTACATCCTTCTTCCTATTTTTGGGACCAAATTTGAAAAAAAAAAGAATTCAAGTGTGACTGTGAAAGTGTGAAAAACACCTTCAAGACAAATATCCCATGCGATTGACGAAGACAGGGTTGGAGTTGCGCGCAGTGAAAATCTGTGCGTATGTTAGTAGTTCATGCAAAAGAAGGAGATAGCGATAGACTAGTCAACAACAATATTTTGATGCAACTAAAAGTATACGTACGAGAGTAACATGGAATATATAATAATCTGATAGTTGAAATATCATTATGTTGTTGTTCTATAATGATTTGAAAATATCTCAAGTATAATATATATTCAATTATGAATGCTGCATAAGAGTGTACAAATGTTGTTATGATGTCATGAGTAAAAATCAGAAAGCGATTTATATTTTCCGCAAATTTCATCTTCCTGAAAGGAAGTGAATACTGATGAAACACAAACTGAACCGTCGAAAATTTCTGAAAAAAAAAATTAAAACCAACACAAAGGATATTTCCTTCAGTTCAAAAATTTCATTATATTTCACCATGAATGAAAATATTACATTATAAATATTACATTTCAATATTGATGAAAAAAATTACGATTTATGAATATTTCTCTGTCTCATTCATCTGGAGAACAATTTTGATTACAGATTTCGGAAGAAATTTGTCTAGGAATTCTTCGCCGCACGTTCACGATAGCACTAACATTTTCATTTTTTGAGATTTGACAATCGTTATTCAGAACAGACTTCTTGCAGGCAACCCTGTTCCATTGTGTTCGCAATGAAACAGCGCCTATTCTCAATTTCGATCGAAAATAACTGGGACAGTAATATCTCTTCAAACCTGGCAACCCAATAGTTAGACCGGGAAAAATATAGGTAACCTACCTTTGCATAATCCATAGGCATTGTACGTACGGTTGTTGTGAAATTTTTTTATGAAACACATCAGTTGAAATGGCAAAACGTGATTTCTAAGTTTTCAATTGATCATAGCCTGGCAAGGATTTTTTCAGGAAACCCGTTTTTCTAATTTTCGACATGCTAAATTTACTCATGAATGATTTTTCATCATTCAAACAGATGGATGAAGGTAGACCATACGTCGGATCTCAGAGTATCCATGTTGATAATTCAGACAAATGTCAAATGTCAGTTATGCTAGTGAAAAGTTGACTTTCAGCGGCACTAGGCAATTGTTAGTTGTTTCCGAATGAATGATGCGTTCGCGTTGCAGCAGTGAGAATATATTCGACGGAAAATTGTGTTGTCATCTCGTTTATCAATGGGGCGATAATTTTAATAATAGGGATATGTATTATTCATGAGTTCAACGAATTATTCAGCGTTCAATTTGAAATGTATTATGTTCACCTAACTATATAGGCAAATTATATTTCTGATTCATTCAGTTCATTTATTCTCGATCGATTATAATTATTATAAATCAGTAGTTGATATGCTCAATTCAACAAAAGCAAACATAACATACCCGCTCATTTAGCAATCTCGCTATCATCAGTAGATACAAGTTATTGATTTATTTGTTCCAACATAAGCATTGTGTTATTTCAAGTACTCAATATATTTCTATACATTTCCTGAATAATTCATATAATTTCGAAAAACATAAGATTCAAGGTGATATAAGCCGACATAAAAACATGCCCCAAATTTCACACAACATATCAACATCAACATAACCAAGTTGAATATTCACCTTATGAGAAAACGTCGCGAGAAAACACAGAGATAGAAGCAGCCAAAAAAAGAGGAAGAGAAAGCTGAGGAGATGTTCATGTGATCGAAAGCACGATTGAAGCACAACTGATGGAGAGCGCATTCTAAACGATAAAGCTTTTCACGAGTTTTCACGAACAGCGTCGTTCGTTCGTGATCTGTATTTTCACCGAACGAGTTCAAATCGCACACAAATAGGTACAACGTACCTATTGAGCACGCAGTAGGGCGTGGAAATTGTCGGAATTTTACGAAACAATTTGAACAAAGCTTCACTTCCAGACTGCTTATTGTATCAGTGAGGAAATCCCAGTAGTACGTATCAAAATTGCAGACTTTGGTTATTATATCTTGGCTGAAGTATATAGTAAAGAAGATGCAAGATGAGGAAAGTTCAGTCATTCAACATTCTGATATAAGTATTCATACAGGAGGTTCCAGAAGTTGAGGTCGATTTTTCAGGTAAGACTTGGCGAGGTCTAACACATATCAATGATCCCATCAAAATATATTTGTGAGCAAGATAAAGACTGCTGAAAATGCCGAAACTAACTGTTGAAAGTTCATAATCCTGTAGAGACTCATCGGGTGAAAATCTATGAATATCAAGCGCTGATAATCACAATGATCTGAACAAACAAGTATTTGCCGATGCATCTGTCGAGTGTCGTAGGTGAAACATATTTTATGATATCGAAAATCTAATGATATTATTGATGAATCATTCCAAAGTTAAGGACCGACAAATAAACAGTCATTCAGGAAGGGTTGCCCTGAAAGCTTAGCGGAAGCATTAAAAACGACTCTTACTTTCGTACTAGTACTTTCAGGTTTGAATACAAAATGATAAGGTATGTAGTAGGTTCAAAGCGGTATATCTACGTTAGGAACTAGTTCCATGTGCCCCAATTTCGAATATTCTTTCATTAAATGACAATACTCGCGATGATAATTCAGATTTTCTACTAGTCGGCGTTCCACCGATGAAAAGCGTCTAAGGACCAAGTCTCGGATATTTGGAAAAACCGGGAATGGTTCACGGAAAGGAAGCGGTGCCAAAACCGATCATTCTTTCTTCTAGAAAAATTATCACGAAAAAGTTGTTCGCATATTTTATCATCTGCGGATAAGGTATCACTTCTGAAACATTTTCAGTATTGACCGTGGGATAATTAGTATTGCATATTTTGCTATATCGATTCCTCCTGGATAATCGAATTTGAGATCAGCTAACGGCGAGGTTGATAGATGATGCCACGATTATATCACAAATAGTAAGTAGAACCAAACAATTAATCATGAATACTGGTTGTGATCTTTTCACAGATTCAACATAGAGGGTGGCCCCTTCGGTAATAATCAGAGTATCTTGATTTCCAAGGTCTTGAATAGTTGTTGTAGTATGGAGGATCAAATTCAATTAGACCCAAACTCCCATGTTGACCCGTATTTCGACATTTTCGGTAGAGAGGAGAACTTAAAATTTTTGATTCAAAAAGGCAGAACAAGAGGTTACTGAATGTGAAGGGTTGGTGTTGGTGGATGATGGCGACTCAAGATGAGGTACTGAAGATTCTGAGACGTTGCGCGAAACTGATGAGTTAGCAAGAGTTCTAGGTACCTACCAATCTGTCATGCTCTTTTTCAAAGTGTAATGTTGTGTGATGACGTTTGCTACATGTTCAACAATTTGAAGAAGATCCACAAGTTTTTAAGTCATGAAAATTACTTGAACAGTCGAAACACAGGTGTAGGCTTTTGCAAAACTGTAATTCATCATTTTGCAATTCATTGAGAGATTCAGGACAATTGAATAGTGAATGATCCTCATTACAGAGGACACATTTATTTCAAGTTTCATCAGGAGTGCGGACTGAAAAATTATTGAAGTTGAAGAAACTAGTTGGTTGTCGATTGGTTCGTAGATGTGCGGTGCTGGGGTTGAAGGTAGAATTAGACAGATTATCATATGACTTATTGCCAGTAGTTGGCGAATGAGTGGTTGACATTTTTTCATTGTTATAGGTGGAAGCATAATGCATCGATTCCAATGCAGTTGAATGTTGATTTGATAAATCAAAAAAATCTCGTGGGATGGATTTTCGATAGACCCGTTTGTCCCTTTATGAAGGATTTGGCAGTTTCAGAATCTACACGTTTCAATTGCATGTTAACGAGAATAAAATCCCATTCGTTTGTGGAAAATTCCAAGTTTTTCAATCCTGCCAAATTCTTGGGAAATGTATCCAGTAGTTTTTGTAATGCTGACGGATTATCCAATCGATTTCAGAAAAATAGGCATTGGTTTGCGCACGTTTATTAAAATAACGAGTAATCAAACTATCGTAGGCTGTCTTATAATTTCCAGCTACCATGGGCGAGCATTGTACAAGCACAAGGTGAGTTCTCCTCAGAGATGATATCAAGTAGTCAAATTTCTTGATATCTTTGAGCGAATCATTGGAATCAGCAAACGCATCGGACATATCCTTGAAGGTTGAAAAGGTTCAAAAATCGCCACTAAATTTGGTTTATTGGATCTCAAGTAGCTTGACATGCGACATATTATTGGAAGTCATTTGTTGGCCAATAATCGATTGATCAAGACTTCTCTCGAATGAATCGAATAAACAGCTCGTGCGTGATGAAAATCATAAAAAAATACTTCTTCATGTAAGTCTTCGGCAGCGAGATCTGCATTTACGTCGGCCGGACAGAATTTGTAGAATGCTTGCGTGGTGTTCTAAAAATTCAGTGCGTATACAGTGTGTCCGTGTCCGTACAGTGTAGTGCGTAATATATTTCGTGAGCCATAACCTATAGAGGAGAACTTCGAAGCAGAAACTTTTTCAGTTAGTAAAGTTGTTCATCTCGAAAATATTCTCAACATAACTAGGTGTTTCATGAAAACAACTCGGAGAAGAATTTTTTTAACACCCAGTATTGTTTATTCGGAATCCATTTCGCCGAGGTATACCTTCACATAGCTGTTTGAAAATTGGATTCTTTTGCGGCGTTGCCAAGTTATAATTGATTAATCAATTTTTACCACTTTTGAGTCATGTTGAATTGGGTATATGCATTCATTCGAATTTTGACAATATTTTTGGCATACGATAGAAGCAAGGTCTCACATATACCAATCTAGTAATTTTGCGACATGTTCTTCAACAAGGTGCTCAATTTTGCATTTTGAATTCAGCAAGATTCAGATGACGTTCATTAAAATTTTTCAAATGAAACACCCTGTATTTTTATTTACAAATTCATTCCGCTTTTTCATCACTGAGGAGAAAATCAGAATAGGTTGCGGCGTTGTCAAGTTATGGATAATTCCCTTATTCTGCCTACTATTTCGGGGTAATTTGTACGTCATAGTTCTTTCATTTATCTGTATATTGTGAAAAAATTGCGTCGCTACGGTATAATCAAATTTCTTCATTGACCATCCATATATTTTTCTACAAAAGGAACATTTCCAGGCTCCCCATGTTTGAATTTGAAACAGAGTGGGTTTTGACAATTTTATCCAAAATGCTACTTTCACTGTTTTTTTAGAGACTATGAATTGAGTTTACAAATACATTTATATATGTGTAATGACCTGCCAAACATCGCAACAATCAAATATATCTTGAATTCATTTGAAATTTTGCTGAATTCCCTTCCGAAATCCGCGTAGTAAAGAAATATTGTTTGTATCACCATGTTCACCTTCTTCAAGTTAAATGGAGATTTGGATTGTTGGAATAACGACGATAGAAGTGGCTCAAATTTCAAAAAACTATGCTGATTCTCGCAATCCAAATCTCTATTGTTTGTATTGTAGAAGTTGTTTTGAAAGCGGGCGTTGCTTTTGCCATATTCGAGGGTTGCTGGGCTGTGTGCACGTGAATTTATACCAAAGAAGAAAAGATTTTTATTTCGTGCAAGAAATGTATTCAATATATTCGTAGCAGAGCGCTTTCGACTGTTGAGTCATAATCATTATTTCCAATAGCTAGAAGCAGATTACCTACTTACAGGTACGCACTGATGATGACTCAACAGTCGAAAGCGCTCTGCTACGAATATTTTGAATACATTTCTTGCACGAAATACAAATCTTTCCTTCTTTGGTTTGCCATGGTTGTTCGTTCCACCAGGTACATATTATTTCAATTATAAGTAACAAGATTACGGAATATTTCATATTTGGAAAATGCACTTATCGCAAAAATACCTGAATGATCTCTGTAGAACCACGAATGTCATGTGGAAAGCAATATTCCCTCACTCAAATCAAATAAAGGAACCATGCCCTATAAGTAGCCATGTGATAGTGATAAACAAAAGGAACCGATTGCGATTGTTTTTTCCAGCGATGAAAAGGCGAATGTTGTCGAAATAGATCTGTGATGAAAAATACAGGGTGTTCCATTCGAGAAATTCTAATGAACCTCGTCTGAATCTTACAATATTCAGAATGTGAATTTTAGCACCATGTGAAGGATCATCCCGCGAAATTTTTGGATTGTTGTACGTGAGACCTTGCTCCTACTGTATGCCAAAAATATTTTCGAAATGTTGATAAATGAATATACCATACCCAATTCAACATGACCCTTCAATAGTAGTAAAAATGGGTTTATCAATTATAACTTGGCAACGTCGCAACCAAATTCATTTTTTCAACAGAGATGTGAAGCAGAACCTCAGCGAGATAAATTTTGATTTAAATATACTGGGTGTTCTATATGAAAAAACTCATCTCCGAAACCTTCAGTAACAGAAGAAGTTTCTTTCTCGTGATAATGGATTTCGAGATATAGAAGAATTACGCACTGAATGGACACACTGTAGAATCTGCGTCAACCAATCGGGTTGTGAAAATAGTTTTCTGCATCCCATCATCTTCAGCTGCAGCTGCCAATGTACTTGAGATTCCAATTTCCTTAGGCAACTCTCACGTAATGCCTATGATGAGGAATCCTGATGGGGAATGCTCAAGCGGAATAAAGCGAGTAACAAAAACTAATTGGCCAGAGTCGAGAGGTACCCAGTGCGGGATACGCAAAAAATTAACGACCTAAAT